CGTACTCATTAACAGAGCTGTCCCATGTCTTACAGTAATAGACTGCAGAGTCTCCCTCCTCCACATTCTTGATGATCAAACGATAATCTGATGTTGACTGATGAGTGGATGTAAATTTTGGAGCAGAGAACCCAGAGCCATAGGTTGGAGAACTCCAGCTATGATACATCCTCAGCACATACTGAGGAACTTCTCCTGGAATCTGTTTATACCAGCGCGCCTCACTATTAGTAACAGTCCCCAGGTTACAGTCCATAGTGACTGCCTCTCCTTTGCTCACTGATAAAACAGGAGGTTTCTGTGTCAGCACCGTCACACCACTCACACCTGCAAATAATAAGAAGAGAAACCCACTGAAATATCAATCCAACAAATAACAACTAATCTGAAGTATAAATGAGGATCTATACATGTCAGAGCAGTGATGAGAGCACAGAGAGTCACCAGCATGTTGTCACCGTGTGCTGAGAATGGACTTGTAACTTGGAAAGAAATTTCACTGCCTCTGTAGGATGATGAGAGGAGGTGTGAACCATTAAATATGTCACTGAAACTGAGAGAAGGAGGAGCTTTGGGTAAACCTGCATACTTTGTGATATTGTCTTGAGTGGAGGCTAACTTATTTTTTTATTTAGAATTTGGGTGTTACTGATGTCTCCCTTCCCCTAAATATTACATTAAACTGTAGGTTTAATTGTAATATTTATCATAATTGTAAAGTGTCTGTCTATCTATCTATCGGTAACAGCAGAAATTAAACTGAATAATTACAAAAATGGGAGTTTATCCAGTTTATCCAGTACACACTGCAAACTTATACACAGTCAGCAAGTGGACCTAAGGCTGCTTAGTAAAGAGGTATTTGACACAAAGTAAAGCACTGTGGTACAGGTCTTTTAATATGCTTCCCCTTGTTCATAAAAAAAAAGCAAGTAAGCCATTTTTTATTTGAGAAAAATCTGAAAAATCTGTTGGAGGATTATGACGGTGAAAGATATTACTGCAACCTGATGAACACCTCCTGGAAATATGAGTGACCACTAATACTAACAGTATCTCTAGTCAGACTTTAGAATTGGTGATTAATTTTTGTTTAATTCTGTCTTATTATTAAATATAATTTAGAGCATGTTAAATGCATGTTAAAATAATAATATGATATGCTTGGGTCATGATTGAAAAAAAGATGGTGTGCACAGCTGAAGCTCTTCTACTCCGTTTTATATTTAACGAGAAAAAATAAAAATATTACTTGATGACTACGGCTGTGAAAACTGACTCGTTAAAACAGAAAGCTGACAGTTCTTCATTTACATATATCTATAAATAGTAGATGAACTCATGCAGGTGCATCCGGGGAAAGAAGAGAAGAGAGAGAAAGGTGATGGTTCACTGACTGAGGATGCAAATTAATGCAGGGTAGAAACAACATGTCATCTTAGTGTCACTGTGACCTTTTGTATGTTTATCTAAACTTAGGAAGCACTGCTCACTGGTGTGCAGCGATTGTACATTACGTTGTGACAAACAACACATACTTAAGCCTTTTCTGGCAAAAATAAGATGAAAACAACAAAAGCAGCAAAGAAAGAAGTATGAGTACAGTTTAAATGAACAACATTTTAATTAAGGTTTTTTTTATGTAAAATTAAAAAAAATTCATGTATGAATATTTTAAACTGCATTTTATTAAAATAAGGGAAAAGACAGCAAAACACGAATTCCTAAAACTATGCAGTAATGACAAGAAAATATACTCATGGTGTAAATCTTATGCCTTATTCAGATTTCCAACATGAATATATTTTAGCAAACAGCAGTAGACAAGCCAATTTTAAATGCACATTCTGGTCCTCGACTATTCAGTGGGACATTCTGACTTCTTGATGGTTTTCTCTGAAGTCTGTGAGCCCAAAGACACTTTACATGTATAAACCTTATTCATGTTCCAGTCTGATGTCTGGATGGTCAGAAAGCTGCTGATTTGGTAAGTCTGGTCTGGTCTCTGAACAGCAGTGCTGGTAGAGATCTCACTGCTCACTGGACTCCCAGCAGCCAACCAGCTCACATCTGCAAAAGGCACAGACTGACTGGACAGACAGACCAGAGAAGCTGTGTCGGACCGGAGCTCAGCACTGGACGGAGGGAAGACTGTCAGGACAGGAGGAGGGAGGCTGGAGCCTGAAAATACATGAAGGATGTTCAGGAAATTGAAAAATCAAAGGACATGAAATGAAATAATGAAAACAGAAGAAATCAAGACATCAATAAGAGTCAATATGGAATAAACATAATATTTGTTATGAAATTAGAAGAAAACAATACTAATGTGATTTGGAAAAATATACAGACATAACAACTCAACATATCAATTGATTTTCTTTTTAAGTTTTCCTAAAATAAAATATGACTAGTTACTCTTTAACTTTCCATGTAAGATGTTTTTGATTTAATTCTGGAGGTTTCTGCATAACATGTCAGTTACTGTGAGCAATTTTCTTTCATTAAAAAAAAAACTGTACAGCCCGTTTCTAATCATTTAAAATTAATTTTTAACTTTAGTAACACTGTTAACTACTACTGAAGAAAAAGAAAACAATCTTATATATGTTTTTGAAATGCCAACCCCAATATTAAATAAAAACACTATGAGAATAATAAGAACGGATGATATCATATTTCACATAATGTTTAGTGAACAACATTTATATAAAAATATACAAATTTGGTTTGACACCTTTTCAATTTTTTTTAAATTTTTTAAAGAATTCATGTCTCCTGCACATACAACAACCTCAAACTATTTCATGTTGTACAAAATCATAAAAATGATGCAGAACAAGAAACATATTGAATTAAGTAGTCATCAGCAGACTTTTGCAAAATCTCTCTTGTTTTATGATCATTTAAAAAGTACTTACTTGTCACAATCAGCTTGGTGCCTTGTCCGAATACCACAGTGATTCAGTTTGTATACATGGCTGTACAAAAACCTCCTGACTGTCACTGATGAGGGGAGAGGAACTGAAACATCCTGTAGAGACTAACTTTCACTGTCAACATCTCATTCACTTCATCTGTTTGTACTTTATAACTGTGTCTCTGTGTGTAGTCGTGTTTTTTTCTTCTTGTCACTTGTTTTGTGTAAGACTTAATTAAGTACTCATTATTCATCTGAATTAAACAGAGATTCACTGTCTCTCAATGAGATTTTGTTTAGTCTGGTTCACTATGACGGAGCATTTTTGGGAGTCTTCCCATGTCTGACAGGAACTCACTGCAGAGTCCCCTGTCTCTGCATGATTGATAAAAGACAGGTTAAAGGTTAAAAGGGATAAAAAAATAAAAAAAAAGAACAATCCAATGTTCAATATGACATTATCTGAAGTAGGGCTGAGCCATATACCGTTCACGATAATACCGGTATTGTCACGGTCTGGCTGGCAGACCGTGTGGATGTGTGGGGAAGGAGGACCCAGGCGCGGTGCTCTGTGTATAAACAGTGCGTTTATTTACAGTGATGGAAATAATAACAGTAAATACCCGTGCTCTCCCTGACTCCCGTGTCGTGTCTCTCCGTGAATAGTCCGTGTCTCAGTGCTCTCCGCTCCCGTGTCTCAGCACCCCTCGTGCTGGCTGCTGTCTGGCGCTCCACACTTCTCCTGGGGACACAATAGACGCAGCCGTCAGGACACATATAACCGTGGGCATACACACACTAACTCAGTTCAGCTGGATGACTAACGTGGAGTCTCATGGAATGATCCCGCGTCAGTAGGAGCTCCAAGACTCTCCTAAGTAGCTCCCCCGACGAGCCCTGATCAGCGGCAGGTGTGTGCAGACCGTCAGCAGGGCCACACCCACCAGGCCTGAAGGCGCCCACCGATATACATACACACGCAAACAGGGAGAAGGACAGCAATGCCAAATATACATACAACAATAATAATAATAATAATAATAATAATAATAATAATAATAATAATAATAATAATATAATTCATAACTGCTCAGGGATCCTGGGTCGCTCAGACCCAGGGCCCTGACAGGTATAATGTTGGGCAACGACAAGAAAATGAAATATGAAATATCGCGATAGAATATGGGTAAAACGCGCATGCGCAGTGCCTTTGTTTTCATACGCACATGGCGAAAAAGGGACGACAGTGACGGCGAATGAGAAGGGCGAAAGTGGATCGTTAAATGAAACGGATGAACCAGAACTGGTTTGTAAAAATGCAACTTCAGTGGTGTGGCACTGGTTAAGCTTTCATCCGTCAGATACACAACAAAGCACTATTTTTGGTAGTGCATGCTAGCGGGCCGTCGTTATTACCGTGTCTTTTGGAAAATACGGCACACTTAAAATCAGTCCTTTGATTTTTCTGAAAATCGACAGTACCCCTTATAATCCCGTGTGCCTTATGTTTGAATTCTAGTTGTGTTTACTGACCTCGAAACAATTTTATGTGGTACACGGCGCTCGAAAATCTGTCAAATGTTTCAAGATGACTTTGCTAAGCTACGAAGCCGCACCGCTTGATGGATTGTCAGAGCATTACGGCTATCGTAAGCAGGAGCCTCGCGGAGTGATACGTACGGTTTAACTTTTTTTAAGTTTTGTGGATATTATACATGGTTATACTGAGGATATGTTGGCCAATTTCCACTGGAAATGCCTTTTGGTTAAACTGTCAGCAGGAAATTTGCATTTGCACTGTTACAATTTTATATAACTTTAATGCAAAAAACAGCTGCTTTTTTAAGTGGAATACATTGATGGGTTTTTTTTTTTTGCACTAATAAAATTGTGGAGTTGTAAAGTATTTTGTCTAGTGTCAATTATATCGTCAGTTATATCATTATCGCAAATTTTCAGATCTATATCGTGATAAATATTTTTGGTCATATCGCCCTGCTCTAATCTGAAGGTTGTATGTTAAAATGAGTTTTCTCCTTTGGACTATTGAGTGAATGAGCCTTAAGAAAACAGCCACAATGTAAATCATTGTACATTGTGTACATTGTCTTCTTTTTCTGCCTGCTTGATAGTTAAGTGGTAATTAATGTTTGATGAGGATGTAGAGTTGAATCTGTCTCTGAGGAACCTTTTTTCAAAGCTGGGTGAGCTGTCAGAATGGAGAAATCTGAGGAAACCGTCCAGGAACTTGTTTATACCAGCAAACAGAATTCCTGTCATCTCTCTCATGGCATGGATATTGAATGCATTGCTTACTGTTTTCTTTGAAACATTTGTACCTGCTGACTCCAGGTATTTTTGGTGTGCCATTTTTTTATAGGCTGTTCCCTGTACATATGGAATATGTAACAAAGTAAAGAGATAGTTTCAATGAGATAGACAGAGGTGGCAAAAGTGAAAACTTTCTTTACTTAAGTAGAAGTACAGATACCTAGGTTAAAAAATACCTAGGTATCTGTACTTCTACTTAGTACTGATTCAAAAGAATCACAGTACAATAATTTTCCTCAATATTTAAAATACTTTCAGTGATGAATGTTAAAATATATCAAAAAGAGTAATTCAGTGTTTATTAACAGATTGTCTGAAGTTGGTGGGTTTACATTGATGAACATTAAAATCAAATATTAAAAATCAAAAAGAACAATAAACACAGTATTTGAAGGTTGTGGGTTTTTTGAATGGGTGTTTTGTCAGCATGTGAAAAATAGAGCATCAAAAAGCAGAAGTATGAGTGAGGAGGTTTTTGTTACAGTGTTTCTATGTCAGCACCGTCACATCACTCACACCTGCAAACAACAAGAAGACATGGAGTCAAGAGAAACACAAGCACATATGAATCCAACAAGTAACTACTAATCTGAAGTATAAAGATTCCATACATGTTAGGGCAGTGATGAGAGCACAGAGAGTCAGCAGCATAATGTCACTGTGTGTTGAGACAAGTAGCAATGAAAGGTAGAACTTGATGTGGCAAAGCTGGGGGTAACGTGGCTAAGGGGACGTGGATCTGGAGAAGGGAAATAGGTCCTGGGATGCAGACTGGAATGGGGCAGAAGGAGAGAAGATAACGGGGTTAGGTAAGTAGTCGAGTGGCTCTCAGAAGTTGGTAAGTAGATTATGTAACTATTCTTACTTGCAGGTGGAGGAAAAGAGCAATGAGAGGAGGGTGGCGAGAATCCAGGGTGAACTGAGCAGTGTGGAAAGGCTGACCTCAGATCCGGATGTTTCAGATGGAGTCTGGTGGCAGGAGGGCAGGCATGTGAGGCACAGAGTGATTTACAAAATGGTGGTTTGATATCTTGAGTCCGAGAGAGGAGTGTAAGCTGTTTGAGACAAGGTGAGTCCAGGAACTGTAGACACAAGAAAGTTAAGTTAGCAAGGTAAATGACAAACAGAGCTTGAAACATGAGAACCAGTTACCAACATGGGTTGATGACGCACTGGCGGTGAATGAACGTCAGCGTGAGGCTTAAATATCTCTGGATTGATTGCCTGCAATCAGCTCTGGGTGTGAGGAACTGGATGAGGAGGTGGCCTTGCCCATGTGTGGTTGTTCATGATTTTAATGAAAAAAATTAAAAGAAAAAAAAATAACACAGTATTTGAAGGTGGTGGGGTTTCAGTGTATTTGTTGAAGGTGTCTTTTATCAGGATGTGAAAGAGCATCAAAAAGCAGAAGTATCTGTGTGGAGGTTTTTGTCACAGTGTAAATCACTGTGATACCCCACTGGTAGCAGAGCCGTCCCATGTCTGACAGTAATAGACTGCAGAGTCTCCCTCCTCCACATTCTTGATGATCAAACGATAATCTGATGTTGACTGATGAGTGGATGTGAATTTTGGAGAGGAGAATCCAGAGCCATAGTATGGTGAACTCCAACTATGATACATCCTCAGCACATGCTGAGGACTTCCTCCTGGAATCTGTTTATGCCAGGCAGCAGCATAGCTAGTAACAGTCCCCAGGTTACAGTCCATGGTGGCTGTCTCTCCTTTCCTCACTGATAAAACAGGTTTCTGTGTCAGTACCGTCACACCACTCACACCTGCAAACAACAAGAACAAACGTAGTTAAGACAAATACACTGACATTTAACTCTAACATGAAGTCTATTCTTCAGTATATTTTAGACTCTTTACATGTTAGAGCAGTGATGAGAGCACAGAGAGTCACCAGCATGTTGTCAGTGTGGGCTAAGAACTGAGTGGAGAGATGATGGTGGAAGAGCTATTTAATACCACTAACAGGAGGAGGAGCATTTGATTTTTTTTCTTTCTCTTGTCTGTGCTATTAATATTATTATTATTGGTGTTGGTAATGCCTTGTGCATTTACCCTCGCCTGTGGCAACATCATCATCTTCCATTCTTTTCAATAAATTTGTTTGTTTGTTTTGTATTTTGGAATGGTGACTTTCTCCATAGCCTAAATGTGGCAGGATTTTGGTTTGTTATATTTTACACTTTAACTTGTATTTTGTTTAAAAAATTGCAATTAGATTTACATTTTCTGAAGCAACATGAAGTTTAGAATTTCAACTTCAACTCTGTATTTTATTCTCTGACACGCCTGGCTTTGCACAAATCATCTAATTAAGTAACTAAATGTCTGTAAATGAGAATGGCCTGTTTATAAATGTGATGTATAAAAACAGTTTATCATGATTTTTGAAACCAGTTTCCAGCTTGAAATGCCCACATTGTGATAAACCATTAAGATGCAGCAGTTAAAAGAAACTGTAGGATAAAATTTATATAATTATGTCAATACCAAATAAAAAGCAGAAAACTTTCAATCCCTAATGGTGACACGTTTTCCTGCTCTTTGTTTTCCTAGTGTTGGTTTCTTTGTTCCTGGCCACTCTTTGTTTTGTATTTTGTTTGAGTGCAGCATTTTCAGTCTCCTGTGCCCTGCATTTGGGTCCAATACCTGCCTGCCACACAGCGGTTACATTACAGTATGAGAGCTGGAGGAGATGCTCTTCTTAGATTAGATGAAACTTTATCCCTCAGATGGGTTCCTCCAGGAAATTCAATTCTTGTAAGTTACCTTGTCACGAACAATCAGTTTGATAAAAATTAAAACTTGCTAAATAAAAACTAATAGATACATTTAAAAAGAGAGAACATTTCTGATTGATCATATTTAAATTTGATTATTTTTAATTATATTCCAAAGTGCCTTTAACAAGTGCAAAATTTCAGTTTCAGCACTGTGTAGGCCTAAAACAGGCCTACCTATCTTATTTTAATTTATGCCAACCTTAACACAATTTTAAATATTATGAAAACAATAAGAGCGATCAACAACATATTTCACATCATTTTAGTGAACAACATTTATATAAAAATATACACATTTGATTTGACACCTTTTCGCACAATTTTAATATAACGGATTCATGTCTCCTGTACATACGACAACTTGAAACTATTTTAGATTGTGCAGATTTTCAGGTCATCTGGTCAGATGATTACCTGGGCCATTGTAGTAACTTTATCTTCCTTCTCTGAAATCAGTTGTGAGTTTCCTTGGCTGCATTTAGTATAATTGTCTTGCTGAAATGTCCACGCTCTTCATCTTCAATGTCCTGACAGATGGCAACATATTTTTTTTATCAAGATTGTCTCTGTGCATTTTCCACTCATCCTTCCTTCAGTTATATGACATATGCCAGAGCTGTATGCTGAAAAACAGCACCACACAATGATGTTTCCACCTCCAATCTTCACTGTGTTGGAGGTGATTTGCAGTGGCTTTTGGCTTCCAAGCATGGTGACTATTGTGCCATCCGAAGAATTACATTTTATGAAAATTTGTATCTCATCTGACAAGACTGTATATCTCCCAGTATGGTGATCTCTCAGGCATGTCTAAATGTTGTTCAGCAAACTTTAAATGCACTTCAACATGATTTTTCTTCAGCAATGAAGTTTTGCATACAGGCTATAGTTTGAAAAATTGAGTGCATTACTGATTGTTTTCTTTTCTTTCTGTAGCTCTCTACAGATGGTCCTTGGATTCTTTTCACTCTGTCTGAACTCTTTCAGGGACCACCTGGTTGTCACCGGTTATGGTGAAATGATTGTCTTTCCACTTCCAGATTATGACCCCAACTGTGCCAATGCTGTCAGTATGTTTCGCAACAATAAGGTTGCAAGCATTGTGAGAGAGCTCAGTGGTTTTACCATCATGAGATGTTTCTTGTTTCACAGCTTGGTAAATTAGACACCTTTTTCTAGACCGTCAGTTGGGAATGCACAAAGTGGCCGGATTACGTTCAAATTACTCATAGATATGACTTTCCATGCATTTTTTGCACCTCATTTTCTTCATATGTTCAAAACTTTCCCCCTGTTTCATTTCTCCTAGTTACACATAATTAACAGAGGTTATAAATACAAGTGACCTCCCCGCCACAAAATAAATAAATAAATAATAGCAATAAATTAAATTAAATCAATAAATAAAAATGAATATAAAATAACAACAGCAAAACATATAACCATATCAAAACATGAATCATCAGAAAATCTTTTTCAGTTAAAAGTACTTGTTACAGTCAGCTTGGTACCGAATACCACAGTGACTCAGTTTGTATACATGGCTTTACAAAACGGCACCAATAAGGCATGAGGAATTGCAACATCCTCTTCAGGCCAACTTTCACTGCCAACATCTCATTCCCTTAATTGATATTTCAAAACACTGCTTACGTGTTTCAAACAATTTCTGTCTCTTTAGACATTTTTTTCTCCTCTGTGTCATTAGTTGCTTTCCCGAAGATTTTATGGTTTTGCCTCATTAATACTAGGAATACACAAGCACTGCAGTGTATCTCATTCAGATTTTTGTCAGTCTGAATCACTGTGATACAACTTCACTAGAATAGGTGTAGTACAAAGAGTCGACAGTTCTGTACCGTCAGTAATGAAATAGTATTAGCTGTTCTAGGATTTAAAGCTCTGAATCTGTCTGAGCAAAATCCAGTGGCAAAGATGGTAAGATTACTGAATGGTAAGTTAATAAACTAAGTAACTGCTGCAGGAATTTTTAAAAAAAATATATGTTTTTTTCCTTTATTCTGAGTGCTTTCAAAGTGTACTGTGAAAAATAGTAGGCACAAACTGAAATCCTGGATTTCATGGCAGTGATGTTCATGATATGATATTTAGAAGTTTGTTGATGTCGTCAGTATGAGTATTTGCATGCATGTAGCTCTATGAAAAGTAAATATACCCTAAGGTGAAAGAGTAAATAGGATTTACTGAGTACTATTACTTTTACTGCAGATGGAATGCAACAGTTATCTCTATAAAGCTTACTGAAATTAGCGTCTATTCAAAACTTGATTAAGGACGAAAACGTGCGTGTAAAAGAGTTGTGAGTGTACAGTATGTGAAAGAGTCCCCAAAAGCAGAAGTATCAGTGAGAATGTTTTTGTCACAGTGTAAATCACTGTGATACGTACTCATTAACAGAGCTGTCCCATGTCTTACAGTAATAGACTGCAGAGTCTCCCTCCTCCACATTCTTGATGATCAAACGATAATCTGATGTTGACTGATGAGTGGATGTAAATTTTGGAGCAGAGAACCCAGAGCCATAGGTTGGAGAACTCCAGCTATGATACATCCTCAGCACATACTGAGGAACTTCTCCTGGAATCTGTTTATACCAGCGCGCCTCACTATTAGTAACAGTCCCCAGGTTACAGTCCATAGTGACTGCCTCTCCTTTGCTCACTGATAAAACAGGAGGTTTCTGTGTCAGCACCGTCACACCACTCACACCTGCAAATAATAAGAAGAGAAACCCACTGAAATATCAATCCAACAAATAACAACTAATCTGAAGTATAAATGAGGATCTATACATGTCAGAGCAGTGATGAGAGCACAGAGAGTCACCAGCATGTTGTCACCGTGTGCTGAGAATGGACCTGTAACTTGGAAAGAAATTTCACTGCCTCTGTAGGATGATGAGAGGAGGTGTGAACCATTAAATATGTCACTGAAACTGAGTGACTGACAGAAGGAGGAGCTTTGGGTAAACCTGCATACTTTGTGATATTGTCTTGAGTGGAGGCTAACTTATTTTTTTATTTAGAATTTGGGTGTTACTGATGTCTCCCTTCCCCTAAATATTACATTAAACTGTAGGTTTAATTGTAATATTTATCATAATTGTAAAGTGTCTGTCTATCTATCTATCGGTAACAGCAGAAATTAAACTGAATAATTACAAAAATGGGAGTTTATCCAGTTTATCCAGTACACACTGCAAACTTATACACAGTCAGCAAGTGGACCTAAGGCTGCTTAGTAAAGAGGTATTTGACACAAAGTAAAGCACTGTGGTACAGGTCTTTTAATATGCTTCCCCTTGTTCATAAAAAAAAAGCAAGTAAGCCATTTTTTATTTGAGAAAAATCTGAAAAATCTGTTGGAGGATTATGACGGTGAAAGATATTACTGCAACCTGATGAACACCTCCTGGAAATATGAGTGACCACTAATACTAACAGTATCTCTAGTCAGACTTTAGAATTGGTGATTAATTTTTGTTTAATTCTGTCTTATTATTAAATATAATTTAGAGCATGTTAAATGCATGTTAAAATAATAATATGATATGCTTGGGTCATGATTGAAAAAAAGATGGTGTGCACAGCTGAAGCTCTTCTACTCCGTTTTATATTTAACGAGAAAAAATAAAAATATTACTTGATGACTACGGCTGTGAAAACTGACTCGTTAAAACAGAAAGCTGACAGTTCTTCATTTACATATATCTATAAATAGTAGATGAACTCATGCAGGTGCATCCGGGGAAAGAAGAGAAGAGAGAGAAAGGTGATGGTTCACTGACTGAGGATGCAAATTAATGCAGGGTAGAAACAACA